AACCTTTCGGAACAGTAAAAAGGAAGTACCGTACGTACTTGCGGGTAAGCCGAGTTTCTCAGCACATTTTTAATGCAGTTTTTGTGGTAGAATTAGGTGCCTCGGCTGATATTCAGGTCGGCTTATACTTGAGTATATACGATATGTTGTTAAATTAAAGTTAGGCTTTGCCAAAATGACAACAGTACGACCTTAAGACAAAATGTAGAGTAACCTCCAGGTTTCTTATATCTGACCTATAGGGAAAAGCAGTGACAAGAAGGCAGTGAGATAGAAGACAGGCCAAACTCGAAATGCTAGCGAGAGATGAAAGGAAGCGCGGCCCCAAACCATCATTCCTCTCAATCCTGTATGAACTGCAAACACCCTTTCTCAAACCATCGATCAGCCTTTATAACAACCCCTGAGACAGTGAGCGCCCACCTGGAATCCTCCTCTTAGGCAAGTGGCAAGGGCCTCTGGCTCTTACTCAGGACACTCACCCAACACGCCCCTAAGGTGCCATCTCTTTCTGTGGCCATCTGAGACACGTTTCTGCTTAAAATCACTCAGTAGCAGAACTTGCAATGCCTCCAGAGTTTTAAAATTATTATGTTCTTTTTTAAAAAATTAATTGGGAGCTTTTACAGATATTATAACAATCCATAATTCAATTGGATCAACATAATTGTACAATTACTGCCACCATCATTTTATACTAACTTAAGGTTGGTCCCTGAGCACTGGTGGTACTGTGGAGTAAACGTTTGTGTTAGACAGGGTTCTCTAGAGAGATTCAGATTCTCCCAGCACAGGCAGCAAACAACAAGGCAGGTCACCAACAGTCAGTCCCCAGCTCAAGAGATGTAAATTCCAATTGTGTGGTGAAGCCCAGGTCTTAAAGGGACCTCAACTTACAGCAACACAATCCACAGGTTATGTGTCCCACAGGTAGTGTAGCTTGCAAATTGAGGCACAGAACAAGCAAGGCAGCCCCACACTGGTCTGATGATCAAAGAGCGAGAGAC